CAAATAATCAATAAAAAGTTTACAAGTATTTGTATCAGGTTTATCATGCTACCTTGCATCAACTAAAATTTATTTCAAAATTTCATTCAAATAAAATAAAATTTATTTCATATTTTGTACACCAATATTGATTGAACTAGTACGTGATCATAAAATATTCGATATAAAAAATTAATTAAGGATAATATTTGTTATATCTGTAATTTGCTATCTAAACTACCCGAAATTGTAAAAAAAAAAAAAAAAAAAAAAAGGAAAACAAAACTATTAATGAAAAATAGTTTACATGGCAAATTACAGTAATTATAGCCAATAAAGTACATCGCACGTAGTATAATTAAAAGACAAACCCCAAATATAAAGTACAAGTCTAAAGATACTATTTTCAGTCTGAAGGAAGTTGTCTTTCTGTTTTATAGAATCTGGCAAGATGGTGAATTTTTGACTCAATTAAAATTAACCAGAATTTAGACACCTTATCGCTACGATTATACTTCAAGTATTTACAAACAATAATTAATTTCGTGATTAAGTGGTAGAGATCTTCTAGAATTTTAGGTGCTAAACCTTAAAAAAAAAAAAGATTCAATATCGTTATTCAATTACCAGGCTTCTTCCTTTATTATGATTATCAAAAAAAAAGCCTACCATTAAGCTTCAAGATTCGAACAACCTTATTTGAAGTAATGTTTTTGAATGGCCTAAAATTATACAAGTTTCGAAGATATATACTAATTTGTGAGGGTGTTATACCTTCATTAGCAAGCTTTAAAATTTGTTCACAGATATCTTTGGAAGTAATTTCCATCTACGAAGATGGTATATGCAAGTATAAAGTGGTACCTTTATTAGAAATAAACATATAACCTATTTTCTTTGAGTTTTTCATATTAAAAAATCTACATAAAGAAAAAAAGCACTAAATTTTTATTATTATAGCTTTTTTTTTTGTGTTGGAAATCGTGCAGGTAAATAGCGATAGTTAAATTTGTAGATCACGTTATATAATAAAACTTTTT